CAAAAACCTGCTTCATTCTTTATGTGCTCATGTTCACAAGGAACTTTCTGTATGAAGTGAAGTCCGCCCTCATGGATCCTGCAGCTATACCATCAGCTCCAGATCCAGGTCAGGCTCTCTAAACGCCGGTCTGAGTCTAACGGGAGGGGACAGAATGTCTCCTGCGTTGGCAGGTTTGTGTGCAGAGTTCAGTGATCGCAGCTTATTGTGATCGAAAAGGTCAGCAGGCAAGAAGAGGAATGAAAAACCTTCACAGAGAGGCTGCTGTGTGTGTGTGTGTGTGTGTGTGTGTGTTTGTTTCTGTGTGTGTCTGTGCGTGTGAGAGTGTGTGTGTGTGTGTCTGTGTGTGTGTGTGTGTGTCTGTGTGTGTGTGTGTGTGTGTGTGTGTGTGTGCGTGTGTGTGTGTGTGTATAAATGTGTGTGTATGTGTGTGTGCGTGTGTGTGTGTGTTTAAATGTCTGTGTGTGTGTGTGTGTGTGTGTGTGTATAAATGTGTGTGTGTGTGTGTGTGTGTGTTTGCATGTGTGCGTGTGTGTGTGTGTGTGTGTGTATAAACGTGTGTGTATGTGTGTGTGTGTGTGTGTGTGTGTGTGTGTGTGTGTGTGTGTGTGTGTGTATAAATGTCTGTGTGTGTGTGTGTGTGTGTGTGTGTGTGTGTGTGTGTGTGTGTGTGTGTGTGTGTATATAAATGTGTGTGTGTGTGTGTGTGTGCGGGGTGAAAATAGAGATTAGTGCCCTCATATTATCGGCGCCACGCCCTGCAGCTGCTGATCTCGGTGGTGTCTGTTACCTTCATCTCTGCAGGAAGCGCCGCCCGCCTCCACCTCCACAAAATCAATTACAGAGAGATGAAATTCTCCGATAACGCCGCCTAATGATAATTGCTCGAATCTGCGATGATCTGACTCACGATGCAAACCACTATTGGCAGAGCGGCGGCGTATTGGCAGCCTGAGAAGATGGAATATCAATGATAATTGTTCTGCCGCTGATTTGCAGGCGGCCCGGGGTAAACACAAACCGATTGTTTAGGATTGGGCGGTACGGTGAGCTGACTGTAGAGTTCTGCACAGAGAGGAAGTGTTGTTAAACGGGATTTTCGCAGTGACGGGCGGAGACACGAGGGGCGACAGGGCGGCAAGAAACGCTAATCCAATCAGAGATCATCACACTGTTAAAGCTGTGATAATAAAAACCAAGTGAAGCATCACACACGCATGACCACTGCTCAGCCACGACACACCAAACACAGACACGCTTCAGGGTGAAGTGTGGATCAATCAGCGGGCACAGAGCGACCCACAGGGGTGGGCGCAGGGTCACCTTTTGGCCCCTCCTCTTTTCCTTCATACAACCTTGGAGGATGACAGGAGTCAGCATTTTTTGAAAAGTGCCTGAGAGACGTCGGGCTGAATAATGCGCCCTATGAATAAAACACATTAGCTACAAAACATGTTGAATTATTCACATTTCAGAGCCTCCACCCCCCCCCCCCCCCCCCCCCCACGCAGCAGATATTAATTCTTCAGTCAGCGAGTCCTCCGAGTCCTCTGTCTCCTGATCACTGTCTCTGTCGTCTGTGTTTTGTTAATCCCTCTTTGTTCATCCTCTGTGTCTCCTCTCAGCTGACTCTCTGCTCTATTTATACTCCCTCACTCCCTCATGCTCCTCAACATCTCACTATCTACCCAAAGAGCTCTTCAAGCGTTCGTTCACACAGAATCTTTGATGACTCGTAACACGCCACGGCCCAAAATGAATTCATCATTTATCGTTAATGTGAGGCGACTAGCTGTGAGACTCAAAGAGAAGCAGCAGGAAGAAGAAGGAGGAGGAGGAGGAGGAGGCCGCTTTGCTTATTAAACACTTGACCTAATACACAGCTTTGGCTCATGTTCGGCTCCGGCAGGAGTTTGTGATTTCTCATGATTGCCGTGCAATTTACAGAATCAACAGCAACGCAGGAACTTCAAAGGGCAAAGCAATCAACCAATCACAGCATTTTACAGAGCACTCTTTTTTTAAGTGGATACAGAACATTTAATTTGTGCTAAAAACCCTTTTGGAACAGCTGATTGTGAGTCGCTCTGTGATTCAACAAGTCTCTAATGTTTTGATGTGAAGCGACTCAAAAACAAACTCAAAAACAAACTGGTACGTTATTTTAAAAAGCCTGATGTTCACGTTTTTAAAACATGAGTAAATTAACAAGTACGGGCAACTGTTGAATCTCTGTTTCCTCTTTTAGATTTGATTGGCTGAGAGGTGAAGCGTCCTGCAGGGACAGCACTTCCTGTTTGTGAATTAAAGGCACAAACAGAGACACACAGAACAGCAGAACAACAGAGATTCAGACTCAGTATAAATGAGAGTTAGCTTTAAGTCATCTCCTGAAGTCGACCTGGAAGCGAGCTCCAGTGATGATTCTAAAGTCTGTTGGGGGGCCCCTCTAACCAGAGTGCATCCTCATCATGTTTCTTTTTTCTCTCCTAAAGACGAGTCATTCCTCTTCATGTTTCTTTGTCCACTTTCATTGACAATGTTTGGTTTTCACAGTATTACAATTCATGCAACGCTTAGCAGGGCAACAAGAGTGAGCGCTGTCAGATGGGGCCCTCTTAAGGAGGTTTCCTACTGTCGTTGCGAAATTTACACATTTTGGGTCGCCACTCTGGTTTAAAGGTCGTCAGCCCTTAGAGGCCCCCCTTCTGGTCTGGGGCCCCAAGCAGTTGCCTCTACACAACTACAAGATTCTGTATCTCTTGTTGTTTTCACGTTTCATGTTCGGGGAGTCTGCAGCCGTGCGAGCAGCATCAGAGGGTCTCAGACGTTAACTACTATGAGTCCTATGATGCTCACAGTGACAGACGGACACAAAGAAGTCTGCTTATAAAGATCCATGTTTACAGTCAAGTTAAGATGACAACATGAAGGTGGATGTGTGTCTTACAACCACAGGAAAGTCAGCTGATGTTGTGTAAATCACTACGGAGACAGGAGGTTCTTTAAAAAAAAACATGTGTAAAATGTAACTTATTGAACTATTTCAACTTTTATTTGAAGCTAGCGGAGGAGTTTTGGTTCCCGTAGAGATGCAACCATGAACCGGTTTGACATCCATATCAGTCGATGTTGGCCCCCGCTGACAAACATCGGCCAACACGGCGTACACTGATGTCAGCAGCTGATGTTTATCTATTTAATGCTAACAAGCAACATTACAGCTATAGAGCCACGTCCAGAGCAAACCAGAGATGGAACCAAGTTGACAGCAGAGACACGTTCAGACACTCTGTGCCCTTTGTTTCATCTAGAAGTCGATCACACACACACACATACACACGCGCACACACACACACACACACACACACACACACACACACACACACACACACACACACACACACACACACACACACACACACACACACACACACACACACACACACACACACACACAGATTAACAGATTAATTGCTCCCAGTGAGAAAAATGCTGAGTCTCCGAGTCAGAGTGAATCTCTGGACTCGTCAGAGGAAGATAGTAAGGCTGAGAAAGGGCCAATGATGAACGCCGTGTGTGCATGCTGCTTCTAAATCTAAGAAAAACACGAACCTCCCTTCCAATAGTGCCCCACTTCTCTCCGTCACACATGCTGCCGTATTTTTAGCCAACCTGTGCACTTTTTCACCCCTACATACTTTGAATATTTAGGCCACTCTCTTATTGATGCAGCAGAAAATCTGTCCTGGGACGTCGCTTTACTTGGAAATCACAGCGGCTGAAGGAACCGTGTTTTTATGGGACTGTGACGTGTGTGTGTGTGTGTGTGGTGTGTGTGTGGTGTGTGTGTGTTGTCATGTGTGGTACAGTCACATTATTTAGAGAGCAGGCAGCAACAACAGCACATCAGAGAGTGTTTGCAGTGAAGCAGCTTCAAACAGAGAAACATGACGTCAGTGAGCTCAAACTGCTTCCTGAGACACCGTAACATAGCTGAGTCACACAGGCTTCAGAGAGTCACGGCTGGAGGGTCACATATAGGTGATACACGCTTAAAGATTACAAAGCTGCCATGCTTTCTAAGAAAGCAACATTACCACCCAGAGTACTGAAGGAGTTTATTAGAAAGAGCTGAAGTTGGGCGTAAACTGAAACCCTTTTCACACATACGTAAATCTCCTGAAAAACTCTGGAGATTAGTCTACCCAGAGGTTCTTTAGACTATGTGTGAACGCAAACAGACACATTTGTCGCGCAGACTTTACCCGGAGTTTCTCCTCTAGACCCCTAGTATTTTCAATCAGGTCTGCACCCTCTGTTGACTTTTTTAAGTCTCGTCTCAAGACATACTTTTATATTTCAGCATTTGAGTCCCCTGGTCCTGAATAGACCATTTCTTTCAGGTTCCTTTGTTGCTTTCTTTATTTTGTTGCTTTCTTTATACATTCTTTCTTTTTATTTGTATATATGTATACATATATATATATTTCTCTCTTGTGGACGTTGTGATCTGAAGTTGTTTTTTCTTTTTTAATGTATTGTACAGCACTTCGGTCAGCTGAGGACCAAGCTGAAAAAAACCCTATATGCAGCAGGGACCTTTAGGAGGTAAAACGTCTACTGGGACTTATTTGGACCCCGTTCCCTGCTGTGGAAATGAAACTGAGTACATCAAACAGTTAAACGTTTTTGGGGGTTTGGAGCAGCAGGCACAGGCGCTACATGTTCACCTATGAGTCCTGACAGGCTCTTTGTGGAACAGTGCTGCCGAGTCATCACCAAAGATCTTGACGTTGTTGACCAATGATGCTCAGACATTGGTGCAAACAAACCCGAGGAGGAGAAAACAGAACTTTGATGTGGGTTATTTTGGTGTGTGCGTCGCAGAACAGCTCAACAGCAAGCATCACAACATTTCAAAACCCGTCCCCCTACAGCGTGTCAAACAGTTACTGCAGCGGAAACAGTTTTTTAAAGAAGGATCCAGGTCTACTCACCAGGGCACAGTACGTCTCCGGAGGGTCTCCACAGGTGATGTTGGGGGGGTCCAGAGTGACCTTCAGGTACTGGGTCATATCTGCTGCCTCCGGCTGGCAGGCCATGTAGTCCCAGGTCAGGCCTTCGTCTGAGTACACCTGGGACTTGCACACATCATAGTGACCCCACGCTGCAGGGTAGTGCTGCATGGCCGCCTGGCACACAGCGGTCCACAGCGCCTGCAGCGTCAACGCAAACTGGAAACGCATGACTGCTCCTCCTGAAGGGGTACGAACACGGGATCCCTCTTCTTCTTCTTCTTCTTCTTGGTCCTCTCACTCAGCTGGAGGGGGGAGGCATGCCAGACTCCCCTCAGGTGGAGCCGCTCCGTTTGAAAGCTGTTTTTCTGCCTGTTTCAGGTTTGTGGAGAGTCTGCGGGGTCAGCAGCCCATTGAGAAGATAAGAGGAGAAGACGGAGGGAGGAGGAGGAGGAGGAGGAAGGGGAGCAGGAGATAGCCCCTCTGACACGCTGATAGGAAGATGATTGACAGGTCTCCTCAGCTCTCCGTGCTGTCAGTCATGGTCCTGCTCGGCCAAGCGGCTCTGCAGAGAAACAGAAGAAGAGAGGGTGAGTGTACAGTGGGTCTCTAGTGGGATCACAGTCTGACAGGGAGAGGACATTAGCCCGGGTTGGCTCAGGTGAGAGGTGTTAGGTGTGAGTGTGGGAGAGGACATGTTGGTGTTTGTTGTCTATCAAACCTTCAGAAAATCAGAGAGAGAGAGACCGTCAGGATGAACTGGATCCTGCTGCTTTCACACCAAGCAGGATCAGAGGTACAGGGTTACAGCCTCCCCCTGCCCCGCTCGCGCCCCCTCACCCCTCTCATCCCCCCTGCCCTCTCTCAACACTGTGCAGGCTGGGATGAAACCAAGAACAACACAGCCTCAAAGGTGAAGAAGCCGCGTGTTCTCTGTGATAATTATCGTCTAGTAGCTCAGACTTATTACGTCTGAACTGAAATTAAGCTGCTGCCTTCTAAAAGAAAGAGCTTTACTACGAGTCTCTCAGCTCAAATACAAATATAAACACTTTTAAACACGTTTTGCTTATCACTATTAAACAACAAAGAAGAAGAAGAAGAAGAAGAAGCAGACACAGCAAAACCAAATCCTCCTTCTTTGAATCAGCTGTTTGGGGAAACTTTGGGCTTGAGCACACCGAGTACTTTAAAAGCTTTATATGAGATTTTTTGATCCAGCAGATGTCGCCCTTGAGCACCAGCATGAAACCAAAACAACTCTCGCTGCATTGTTGTGTTAGCATGCTAATGCTAGTGATCTTTATTATGCTTGTATCTTCACACTGCATGTAAATTTACCTGAAATGAGCGTGATCTAGAAACACAGTTAAGCAGTGAGTACAGTATGTTATTCTTCTTTTCTCTAGTCCCTCAATTAAACAACTTTTATACGTGAGGGGAGGAGTCAGCCAGCCGTCCAGCAGTCACAGCACAGTGGGACTCACTGTCCAATGGTGTTACTACAGTCATGACTCACAGAGTTATTTTCAGAGGATATACTTGATTTATATTATATTTAAGTCTGAAAAAATCACATATAAAGCCTTTAACGAATATTAGACGCCATCACCCAGAGGAGCCGATCACCACTGCACCCGCTGTTTACTGACAACCATGTGGCTGCACACGTCATAAATATGTCACAGCGCTCCTAAAGGCACCTTTGCATCATTATTTTAAGTTGAATGTCTAACACACCAACATCACAGATAGATCCAAATAACATGACATTTAACAAAGTGTGACATCACAACTGTCAAAATAAATGAGAGAAACCTGCACACAGGACGTTTGTGTTGCCTGTTGAACTTTGACCTCTGTGAACCATGACCTCCTTTTTCCCAGCAGGTTTGACTTCCTCAAGAGGTTACATTAAAAACAACATTTTTGAAATATACGGTGTGAGATGAGGTGAGATAACACTTGTTATGAATCAACGCTTTACAAATAATGATTGATTGATTGACAATCCCAGCAGTCTACATTTGAAGGACTGAAATGAACTCTCTCTCCTGACAGAGTCCCACTTTGCAAATTAGAATAAAAAGAGTTGAATGTCAACGTAATCACCTCAGACTGCAGAGTTGCGTTCAGGTTTCTGCTCATAAGTGGTGAAGCTGTCTGAAACGGGAGCCTCAGCACTGAATCACACGCCGTGATTTACCTCCAGACTGCACAGCATCCATTTATATCTGTCACATCATGTGGGCTGTGGATCCTTTTCTCCTTAAACATCTGCTTAAAGTTAGCCGCATCCAACTTTCAAACTTGTCCCCCTCCACTTATCCCACTGATCCGATTTATGAAGCAGTTGATTTAAAAAAGACATTTCTGTTGTTAAAGAGGACATATACTCCCCCTCCACCACCTTTTGAAACAGTCCCCTGTGGTCTAAATGAAACATCTGTGTTGTGCTTTGGTCAAAATATAACATAAATCTAGCACCAAAGGAGGTTTGTGACCCTGTATAAACCAGCTCTCTCAGAATGCTCCGTTTTGGTGTGTGTCTCTTTAAATGCAATGAGCCCCCCCCCGAGTTTTCCCCGTAGATATCACTCCTCTGTAGGGAGAATAATTTTTATTTATTTTTTTACCAGTGCACAGGTTTTGTTATATGCTTGGGTGGAGTCCATGGGTGGCGATACCAGGGGAGGGGCGGGGATTTTTTTTTTTTTTACCAGAATCCCACTGTGACATCACAAGGAGAGCACATTTGAAACAGAGTATTTTTCTCTGTGTTGTAAGACTTATGCAGACCACAAACAAAGGACTGGATGGGTTTATTTCACATTTTGTGGGTCTGTAGACACTCAGGTTACCAAAATATATGTTCAGAAACACTGAAGAAGAGGATTTCTAATAATATGTCCCCTTTAACTAATCATAAAAAGTCTATTATAAAAACCCTGTCCATGAGTTCAGATCGTTTCCATCTTTGATATTTATATCGTCTCACGGCGTCCTTAAAGAGGAGGGCGTCATTCATCAGATTTTTTCCGCACCTTTTATACGTCTGGATTCCGGTGAGAACAAAATGTGTGACAGTGAGGAAGTTTGTGTAACGTGAGAGTGAAAACGTGTTAAAACAATGGAGAGATCAGCTGATAGTTAGACGTTAGACTCTGGACGGTTTCTATCGCAGGGTTCATAAAAATGTGGAGGGGAATGTGGAATTCAATTAGGCAGAAGAATATGGAGTGAGAGGATGTTTAACCAGAAGAGGGGGGTTGAGAAGAGGGTTTAAGGAAAAAGAAATGAAGCTCCTTCGATGTAAAATGTAGGAATGTCAGTGGGGGAGATGTCAGCAGGTGAAGAAGCAGCCAATTACCCAGAGAACTCCTGACTCCAGCCTCTCTGTTCCCATTAAGGGACATAATATCACCACGTTAAGGACGCCACTAAAGAGAAGTGTGTGTGTGTGTGTGTGTGTGTGTGTGTGTGTGTGTGTGTGTGTGTGTGTGTGTGTGTGTGTGTGTGTGTGTGTGTGTGTGTGTGTGTGTATGTGTAACCTCTGGATAAAGAGAGGTGTGAGTGTGTGTGTGTGTGTGTGTGTGTGTGTGTGTGTGTGTGTGTGTGTGTGTGTGTGTGTGTGTGTGTGTGTGTAACCTCTGGATAAAGAGAGGTGTGAGTCGCGGCTAATGAGACAACAAGCGCCGGCGAGTCTTCGGTAACAAGCCAGAGATAACAGACGGGGGAAGGGGGGTTATGACTCCACCGTCCTGGACACAGCGCCCCCCCACCCCCCCTTTATAACCCCTCCGTCGCCCTGTGGGGGGAGGAGGAGAGGGGAGCAGATGGAAGAAGTGTGGATGTGCATTTTAAGTGAGAAAACAGAGTTTATTTTAGCTCAGGAAGCATCCTGCGACCATCGATCACCGTCTGACGACACGATGAGAGGGGGAAGAGTCTGAACGTCTTCCAGGTACAGAAATATTTAGTGCAGAGTGTGCACGCACAGAAACACTTACAGGAACACAGAGAGGCGGCTGGGAAACCCATCGAAGAGTTGGATTTAATGTGTGTCTCGTTTCCTGTGAGAAGAGATCCTGAACACGACCAATCTGTTGATGATATTCTCACCTTTAACGGTGGTATAAACCTGCAGGTGTTTCAGTATGTGGAAAGTCAAATATGAAACACCAGGGCGAACAGTCTGTTAGTGTGATGAAGATAAAGCAGACAACAAAGAATACAAATGTTCTTTTAGAGATTTTTAAATTATCAAATAAGGTGTTTGGTTTCATTGACATAGACCACGTCTTTCACATCCCTCCCCCCAAACCCCCCCTCCTCTGTGTTTCTTTGTCTAAATAGAGGAAACACGGGGTCAGACAGCAACCAAGAGACACCCACCCAGAGTCTCGATCCCTCTGGTGTCCTCACAACGTACCTACATCGGCTGTCACAAGTCCTTCATCCCTCAACGACGTGCTGGACACAGACTCATCTTCCATGATGCACCGCAGAACTCCACAGAAGGTCATTCCTGCCTGTGGCCATCAGACTCTATAACTCTTCCATTTGAGAGTCAGACACTGAGTCTGCAAACTTTTCTGACATGCAGGAAGGGAGCCACAGGTGGGATTTGAACCTGGGCCACTTGGAGGACTACAGCCTCCATACATGGGGCTAGCACACTAGCGACTGTGCAACCAGCGCCCCACAAGAGACATTTCTAAGTCCTTTTCTTTCTTGATGATGTCTTTGTTAGTGACATGAGCTATAATGTCTCTCAGTGGCCGCTGGAGTGCTGATCTGATTGTTTTCTCGCCCTGTGGCGTTCATGCAGACACGTTGTGTTTGGACAGAAGATTGTTAATGCACCGTGAAGTTTGCTATGTGCAACATATCAAACCTTTAAAAAGCAGATATCAAATATATCTTTACTGGGGGCGCGCTGGTGGCGCAATGGTTCGTCTCAAGCGGTAGGCCCGGGTTCGCTTTCACCCGTGGCCCCTTTCTGCATGTCATTCCCTGCTCTCTCTCCCTGGTTTCCGACTCTATCCACTGTCCTCTCTCTGCATTAAAGGCACAAAAAGCCCAAAATAAATCTTTAAAAAAAAAAAAAGAATAATTAGAAAAAAAAAAAATATATATATATATATATATATATATATATATATATATATCTTTACTGCATATATCAGTTAGCAAAGAAGAGCGTGAAGTCTAACTCCCTCTGGGTTTGTTGTTCTCACCTCTGTGTTCACACTGAACGGGCGGAGCTTCCTTCACTCTGAGGCTCAAACATGTTCTGGACGTACATATTTTAATATGTCCGCACTACAAACTTTTTTTATGCTGCAGATTTGCAAGGAGAGAAAAATATATTTGTGTCTTCAGGTCAAATATTTGAACGCTGAGTAATGTGTGCCCTCAGCAGCTGCCTGCAGGTACAGACCAGTCACAGCTTTTTATATTTAATCACATGAATCCAGACCACCCAGCCGAGGGTTCATTTGGCTGCTTACTCAATCACATCCAACCAAACACCCCCCCTCACCCCCGACCACTTCCTGAGAACACA